AGAGAGAGAGAGAGAGAGTAGTGTGTGTGTGTGTGTGTGTGTGTGTGTGTGTGTGTGTGTGTGTGTGTGTGTGCAGGGAACCTCCTGTTCAGAGGGGTGATTGCAGCACAGAGAGGAGGTGTGTGCATGTTTGGGGTGTCTCTTTCTCAGAGGGGAGGAGATTAAGGCACAGAGTGTTTTGTGGGGGAGTATTTGGTTAACAGGGAAAGTTACAGGACAGAACAGGCAAAAATAGTGTGATCTGGTTCCAGGATTTCTAATCCTGTCAATGGAAGCAATCGTGTAGAATTTCCTTAGATTGCATCATTGTGGCTGTGTCCCATGGCTCCTTTCAATCTCCAGCATGGGAAGCCTCCCACCTGACAGAGGCCGAAGAGCAAGGACATGCTCCTGCCCTTGGATTTGGTCTCGAAGGCGTTTGATTTCCAGCCGTTGCATTTCTATGATTCTTTCTGTTTCCTCTTCTACATTCAACCTCAGCACACTGGGACTAGGCAGCAGGTCACGGGAAGGAACTAGAGAAAACAGTAGCCAGAGCGTATAACGATGAGGGTTCCAGCTAGCCAGGCTCTATTTACTCTTGAAGAAAGAGCTAGGACATACATCTCTTGGCACAGGGGAGAGAGAGCTAAAGGAGAAGGCTCTGAAGTGCTTAATAAGTGAATTGTGCATTGTATAGTTGAATACCACTGTACATTGTATAGGCATCTTCCAGGCAACCATAGAGTTTAATGACTAATACCAGCCAAAGGGAGAGAAACTCACATGCTGGCAAAGGGAGACAGGAGGCTTTAAGATGAAAGCTGATAATATGGAAAGATACAGGGAGAACTGTAATAATCACCTGTGTCTGGGATCCCTTGCTTCTTGTTTTTTCTGTTTAGTCCTAGTGCTGACTGGAGATCATGCACCTGGGTGCGGGTCACCTTCAGTTCCCTCCGCAATTCGTTAATTTCCTTAATCAGGCTCACATTTTCCTGTAGCAACAATATGCTCAGATTTTCAATTGACATATTTGTATCACCGTATCACTATGAGAAAGGGCAGTAGGCATCAACTGATTAGGATGACCAGATGTCCCGATTTTATGGGGACAGTCCCAATAGTTGGGGCTTTGTCTTATATAGACACCTATACCCCCCTCCCCTCCCAATCCTCTGTCCCAATTTTTCACACTTGCTATCTGGTCACCCTACATCTGGGTCAACAGTAGGTAGCACCATACCCATGGGGGAAAGAATACTGGGTATCATATGGGTCAGAGCTGTAACTGAAACAGAGATTGCTATACTGGATCAGACCTGAGAATCATCTAATTTAGAAGTCTCTCTCAGTCAGTAGGCGGTACCAGATGCTTCAGGGAAAGGCACAAAAACCCTTGCAATAGGCAGGTATGAGATAATTTGCCCCCACACATTAGGGCTCATCTGAATCCCCAATAGTTAGAGATTGGTTTAGGTCCTGAAGCATGACATTTTTGTTATAAAAATAACTCTGGATATTCTTGTTATTCATGTAAATGTCTGATCCCTTTTCGAATTTTGTTAAGTTCTTGGCCTCAGCAACTTTCTGTGGCAGTCAGTACCAGTCTAATTACACATTCTAAGAACATGTATTTCCTTTTATCAGTTTTGTATTGGCCATCTTTTGTAGTTTCAATAAATGTCTTCCTGTTGTGTTACAAAACAAGGAGAACTGTAGTTCTTGATCTACCTCCTCTAGATTGCTCATTACTTTATATACTGCTATGGCTCCTGTTATTCCTCTCCTAAGATCATTCAAACCCCATCTTTTCAATCTCTTCTGGTATGAATTTTCTATGCCCTTCATCATTCTTATCACTCTTCTCTGAACCCCTCTCTAATTCTGCAATATTCTTTTTGAGATGGGGTGACAGTCCTGCACACAGTATACAGATTAGGCCGCATCACTGGTTTATATAAAGGCATTATAATATTCTCTGTACTATTCACCACTGCATTCCTTATGCATCAACATGTGCAACTCTTTGCCAGAGGATCTTGTGAAGGCCAAGACTATAATAGGGTTCAAAAAAGAACTAGATAAATTCATGGAGGATAGGTCCATCAATGGCTATTAGCCAAGATGGGCAGGGTTGGTGTCCCTAACCTCTGTTTGCCAGAAGCTGGGAATGGGCAACAGGGGATGGATCACTTGATGATTACCTGTTCTGTTCATTCATGAGTTCAAATGGGCGTTGCATCCATTGTATAAAAACTAAATTAGATCCCAAGAAGGTACAGGGTCTCTCACCAGTGGATACAGATTATTAGGACCTTTTAAGAATATCTTAACTACAACATGAACAAACACCAATTTATTGTCTACAGGAACACAGTATGCTGAAGTTACAGACAGATGGACCTTAACAGAGGACAGCGAGTGACTCTTCCTCCTGGGATATAATAAATATTCTAGGATACAGTTATTAGGTGCTATATAAGAATCTACATTACTGATATTAATCCATAATAAAGTTGTTTTCTATTTATGAACAAAACATTCGTACATTCTTGAATTAACCAAACCATTTTGCACTTCTAATGAAAAAGATGGCTCAAAAAGTCAAAAAGCCTGTAATTGCTGGGATCACTTTTGTAGCCCTTTTTAAAAATTGGTGTCACATTAGCTATCCTCCAATCATTTGGTACAGAAGCTGATTTAAATGATAGGTTACAGACTACAGTTAATAGTTCTGCAATTTCACGTTTGAGTTCCTTCAGAACTCTTGGGTGAATAACATCTGGTCCTGGTGACTTATTACTGTTTAGTTTATCAATTTGTTCCAAAACTTCAGTGACACTTCAATCTGGGACAGTTTCTCAGATTTGTCACCTAAAAAGAATGGCTCAGGTTTCGGAATCTCCCTCACATCCTCAGCTGTGAAGACAAATGCAAATAATTCATTTAATTTCTCTGCAATGGCCTTATTGTCTTTGGCCTTGGCTACACTGGCAATTCACAGCGCTGCACTTGCTGCGCTCAGGGGTGTGAAAAAACACCCCCCCCCCCTGAGTGCAGCAAGTGCAGCGCTGTAAAGCGCCCGTGTAATCAGCGCCTGCAGCGCTGCACGCTCGCTCACAGCGCTGCAAGCTATTCCCCTCGGAGAGGTGGAGTACTTGCAGCACTGTGAGAGAGCTCTCGCAGCGCGACTACACTTGCGCTGCCGAGGCAGCGCTGTGAATCCACGAGTGTAGCCAAGGCCTTAGAGTGCTCCTTTAGCATCTCGATCATCCAGTGGCCCCACTGGTTGTTTAGCAGACTTCCTGCTTCTGATGTAGTTAAAAACAATTTTGCTAATACTTTTTGAGTCTTTGGCTAGCTGTTCTTCAAATTCTTTTTTGGCCTTCCTAATTATATTTTTATATTTCATTTAACAGAATATCAGAGTTGGAAGGGACCTTAGGATGTCATCTAGTCCAACCCCCTGCTCAAAGCAGGACCAATAATCCTCAGACAGATTTTTGCCCTGATCCCTAAATGACCCCCTCAAGGATTGAACTCACAACCCTGGGTTTAGCAGGCCAATGCTCAAATCACTGAGCTATCCCTCCCCCCCCAGGAGCCAGACTTTATGCTCCTTTCTATTTTCCACACTAGGATTTAACTTCCACTTTTTAAAGGATGCCTTTTTGCCTCTCATTGCTTCCTTTGCTTTGTTGTTTAGCCACAGTGGCACTTTTTTGGTTCTCTGTGTTTTTTAATTTGGGGGATACATTTAAGTTGAGCCTCTATTATGATGTCTTTAAAAAGTTTCCAGGCAGCTTGCAGGGATTTCACTTTTGGTGCTGTACCTTTTAATTTCTGTTTAACTAAGTTCCTCATTTTCGTGTTGCCCCCCTTTCTGAAATTAAATGCTACAGTGTTGGGCTGCTGTGGTGTTTTCCCTGCCACAGGGATGTTAAATTTAATTATATTATGGTCATTATCACCAAGCGGTCCAGGTATATTCACCTATTGGACCAGAGCCTGTGCTCTACTTAGGACTAAATCAAGAATTGCCTCTCCTCTTGTGTGTTCCAGAACTAGTTGCTCCATGAAGCAGTCATTTAAGGTCACAAGAAACTTTATCTCTGCGTTCCGTCCTGAGGTGATATGTACCCAGTCAACAGGGGGATAGTTGAAATCCCCCGTTATTATTATTATTATTATTGAGTTTTTTTATTTTTATAGCCTCTCTAATCTCCCTGAGCATTTCACAGTCACTATCACCATCCTGGTCAGGTGGATGGTAATAGATCTCTACTGCTATATTCTTATTATTAGAGCATGGAATTACTATCCATAGAGATTCTATGGTACAGTTTGGTTCATTTAAGATTTTTACTTCATTTGATTCTACGCTTTCTTTCACATATAGTGCCACTGCCTCACCAGCACAACCTGTTCTGTCCTTCCGATATATTTTGTACCCTGGTATTACTATGTCCCATTGATTATCCTCATTCCACCAAGTTTTTGTGATGTCTATTATATTAACATCCACAGGCACTCTAGTTCACACATCTTATTATTTAGACTTCTAGCATTTGTATATAAGCACTTTAAAAACTTGTCACTTTTTAGCTGCCTGCCATTACATGATGTAATTAAATGGGACTCTTTTTCATTTGACTGTTTCTCATCACCCATATTTTATTATCTTCCATCCTCTCCTCCTTATTAGGACATAGAGAATCTACATTAACAGATCCTCCCCTAAGGGATGTCTCTGTCCAAACCACGTGCTCCTTCGCACCTGTTGGCTTTCCCCAGCCCTTAGTTTAAAAACTGCTCTACGACCTTTTTAATTTTAAGTGCCAGCAATCTGGTTCCATTTTGGTTTAGGTGGAGCCCATCCTTCCTGTATAGGCTCCCCCTTTCCCAAAAGTTTCCCCAGTTCCTAATAAATCTAAACCCCTCATCCCTACACCATCATCTCATCCACGCATTGTGACCCTGAAGTTCTGCCTGTCTAACTGCCCCGGCGCGTAGAACTGGAAGCATTTCAGAGGATGCTACCATGGAGGTCCTGGGCTTCAATCTCTTACCTAGAAGCCTAAATTTGGCCTCCAGGACCTCTCTCCTATCCTTCCCTATGTCACTGGTTCCTACATGTACCACAACCACCAGCTCCTCCCCAGCATTACACATAAGTCTATCTATATGTCTCAAGAGATCCGCAATCTTCGCACCAGGCAGGCAAGTCACCATGTGTTCTCCTGGTCATCGCAAACTCAGCTATCTATGTTTCTAATGATTGAATCACCCATTACTAATACCTGTCTCTTCCTAATAACTGGAGTTCCCTCTCCTGGAGAACTATCCTCAGTGCAAGAGGATACCACATCATCATCTGGAAGGAGTGTCCTAACTATGGGATTGTTTCCCCCTGCTCCTGTTGGATGTTCTCCTTCCCTGAGACTTTTATCCTCCTCAACAGTACAGAGGCTGCCAGACCGGAGGTGGGACTGTTCTACTGTGTCCCAGAAAGTCTCATCTATGTACCTCTGTCTCCCTTAGCTCCTCCAGTTCAGCCACTCTGGTCTCCAAAGCCTGTACACGGTCTCTGAGGGCCAGGGAGCTCCTTGCATTAAAAGCACACATATGCCCATAGGGCAGGTAATCATACATGCTGCACTGGGTGCAATAAACTGGGTAGCCCCTACTCTGTTGCTGGACGTCTGCCTGCATTCTCTTTTTACTCCTGCAGCTCGTTCCTTTGTTGATGTTTTGTTTTTATCAGGGGATGTTTTGGTCTTAAGTTTCAAGAATGTTAAGTGTATCTAGCCCCCCCTCACACTTCCCCTCTAAACACACACACTACAGACAACCAGGGCCAGCTCTGGCTTTTTGGCCACCCCAAGCAAAAAAAAAAAACGGGGCGGCCAGAAGAGCAAAGCAAAAAAAAAAATGCGGCGTGGCCAGAGCGCGGGTGCAGGGGGAACCGGCGGGGGGGCGGGTCGGGAGAGAGGGGGAGGGCGGGAGAGAGCCCTACAGGGCGGCCGGAGCGGAACAAGACAAAAAAAGGCGGCCGTGCCGCCCTAGGATTGGGCAGAATGCCGCCTCCAACAATCTGCTGCCCCAAGCACCAGCTTGCTCAGCTGGTGCCTGGAGCCGGCCCTGCAGACAACAAACTTACCCCAAGGGTCATGTGATCGGTCCTCCTTCACTGGAGAACTCCCGCGCAAAACTCCCGTTAGCACCTCCTGTTCACTAGCTCCTCTGGTCGCTTAGAAGTGGGCTTTATAAAGCCCTGGTCTTCCTGAGTAGCCCCGCTCCCTGGCTAAGGGTTGATGGGTGCTAAAGGGCTTAAGGATCAAAACCTCATTAAGAAGCTCTCAGCCTTGCCTAGCAGGCCACTAAGCTCAGCACACGGTCCCCCAAACAAACAGACCACACGGTATATTTCAGTCAAGCAGCAAGCACACCACAAACAGCACTAATGACACTGTGTCATGGCATATCTTGCAGATAATAGATGACTTCAGGGAAGTTGTAAGTGTACAGAAGAATGTCTAAATGATCTTCTTGGAGATCCTTCCTGTCCCACAAATGAAGGAAAACAGAAGGCAGAAAATTCTGGAATATTTGACTAGGTAAATGGTGTAGGACAGTGGTTCCCAAACTTTTTGGCATCACACCCCCTTTTTAATTTTCGAGAAACCCTCACGCCCCCACCTCTCCTTTACCAGCATACAACCTCCCCAATCCTTGTCCCCTGACCACCCCCTTCTGGGACCCCCTGCCCCTAACCGCCCCCCCCCCCGGGACCCCACCCCCTATCCAACCCCTCCTGCTCCCTGTCTCCTGACCGCCCCCCCCCCAGAACCTCCTCCCCATCCAACTGCTCCCTGTTCCCTGACTGGCCCCCCGCGACCTCCTGCCCCTTATCCAATTCCCCTCCCATCGCTCCCCGCCCCCTTACCAGGCTGCTCAGAGCAGCAGGAGTGGTTTATTGGAAAGCCTGGGAGGTGGGCGGGCACAAGCCGTGCTGTCCGTGCGGCGGCACAACTACAGGAGAGGGTGGACAGGAGGGGAGGGGCTGGGGGGCTAGCCTCCCAGGCTGGGAACTCAAGGGCCGGGCAGCCTTCTCGGCCACCCTTGGAATTTCTTCATGCCCCCACGTTTGGGAACCAATGGTGTAGGGCATAGGGTTTTGATTTTGTGGACCACTGGTCCACTTTCTAAGGGAAGAGGGAGCTGTATAATTTGGATGGCCTCAGTAAGACGGGGGGGGATCCGTCTCCTTGGGGACTGACTGGCTAGAGTAGTTAGGAAGGGGTTAAACTAATAACAAAAGGGGAGGGTAAAAAGAGAGAAGATATGAGAACTCAGCACAAAATCGAGATATTGAGAACAAAATTAATCAAGGAGCCAAAAGACATGAAGAGAAGAAATTCTTGAAGGGTTAGAGCCTGGCAGCCTTTGGCAAGGCAGCCTGTTTACTCAGGGCCCACAGCCTATACACAGAGAACAACAAACAGACAACCAAACTATGAGCAGACAGGCCAAACACACCACTCACCAAGTCCCATTACTACTCAGCACAGAGTCTGCAGCTATTCCCTCCAAAACTTTCCTTTTAGCCGCCTCTATTTGCCTGCAGGCTATTTTGCCTCTCCTTCACTTGTGTCATGAACACAGAGCATACTGAGCATTTTGACGGAGAATGACCTCTTCCCAAACACGGAAGATATCTAGTATGAGTATCGCCTGCCGGGAACCTGATGGACAGGAAACCTATTTCTTAAAGCCAAGCTTCTTAGTCTTCATTTCTGTCATCCTGGTACTAAAGGAACTGATCTAAAACAATTCAGAACTACTTAAATTTTAAACTAACTATGCCTGAATTAACTACAGTAAAACGAATCTAACTAGGCACTTGAAGTACAGATCCAGGACAATCCCAGAGTAGTTCCTAATCCATCAGCTGGTCATGGCTGGAAGGAATTGAGGTGAGGAACTGAGGAACACCTTTTATACCCTCAACCTCACAAGTTTCACAATCACTGAGGGGAGGAGCAAGGACGGTGCTTGAGGGCTCTAGTGGGCACTGTTAGTTAACTCTAGTTAAGATTCCATCATCCAGGCTGCACCAGTTGGAGCATCCCATGAGTGGGAATATGCAGAAGATACCTGAAGAAGAATTACATTATACAAAGAAAACTCTGATATTCACATATAGTGGAGACCCCTTCCTCCTGCAATTTACAATGTGAAAGTGTAAACTTTCACACACAGACTGGAAATAGCAACTGTTCCAGCCATCTCTTCTCTTATAGATCCTACTCCATCCCATCCATCACTTTGAGAAAACACAGCACTTTTAAAAACCTTCTCTTCAGCAACTTAGAAAACTTCCAGAGTTCCAGGGTAAGTGGAATTCTGGGAGGGTATCAAACAGAAATCTTCTCAGACTCCTGAGAACGTACTGCAGCAAGGAAGCCTGAGAAAGAGGAATTCTCTTGTGTGCAGCTTCTCTCTCCATCTGCCCCTGCCAGGAGCAAAGAAAATGGGCCATGTACCTGCATGATGCGCACATTATCAGCTCGGTGGATCTCACTTTCCTTCACCACCTTCTTCTTCAGTGTTGCCAGATTCCTCTCAAGATGCTCTCTCTGCCGGGTGTACTCCTGCTGCAGATCTGTGTCAACCCCCACAATCTCCACCTGATGAGAGACAATACACAGGCTCAGAAGGTGTGACACCAGAGATGCGCTCATCTACCATGGAGAGGAAAGAGCCCTAACTCACCATGTCTGCCTGCTGCACGTATTTGTCGTAGAGTTCCCGGATCCCCTCCTTGAGTTTTTTGGGCTCCTGGATGAAGCCCACGCAGTTATGAAGATCTGTTTTAAACCGCTTGACAAGAGCTTCCATGTCTCGTTCCTGCAAGAATTATACATGAACACCCACTCAGAGCACCCTGTCATGCATGAGGACCTCCTGGAAGCTCTAGTTGAATTGTTGAGAATCCTCATGTGTTATTTATATTTTTTGTTTTTAAGAATGTGCCATCTGGACATCGCGCAGTTGGAGAGAGAACTTCTTGGCTTTTGAGTGCTGTCAGACATAAGACGGTAACAAATCTTGCCAATAACTAACACCCCTCCTCACCCTATGAGAATTGCATTATTACTTTTACTGCACTAGTGCTTGGAGGCCCCATTCAGGTTAAGGATCCTGTTATCTTGGACACTTCAAAAACACATAGGCAGATGCATTTCCTGCCCAAAGAGTTTACAATTTTACTAGAAACAAGACGCAACAAGTAAATGTAACAGATGATAGGACAGAAAAACAGGTGCAGTTGGTAGCTATGTGCTCAACTTGAGCTTCCTATCAACACCCTCTCCTCATTCTCCCTGGCGCAAAGTTTCTTATTTGCTCACTCTATACCCTGCTTGCTTCCCCAGTCCTATCCTTGGCTACTAAATTCCTTCATGCCCACTTTCAAACCCCTTGCTCCTTCCTCTCTGACCTTTCATACACCTCGGACGTGGTTCCTTCAACGATAAGTATGCCCGGATATCAATGCACAAGCCCCCCCTCTACCTTTCCTGACTAATTACGGCATGTCATTGCAGAGGTTCAGCCCAGATGGTACTCTTGGGAGGGAATAAGTTGCTGAGGCCATATATTCCCAGACTCTCTGCCTTGGGTGTGGCAGAGAGGTTCACTTAGCCCTCTCCCCAACTACTCTATGAATCTTCAATGAATACACAGATCTTGCAGCATATCCAGAAGGACAATGCACACAGGCTCTGTTAGACCAAATGGCTGGAGCTTCGGTACTATCTACCTCTCTATAATATCCAACTCTCACACAAGCCTTCATACTTGGAATGCTTGTCTCTGATCCCTCCTGCCACAGCCTCTCTTCCCCTTCTCTTCTGCGCAGTACCCAAGAAGGAAAACTCTCTTCTCAAAGCCATGCATCTATACTGTCCATGTTCCTGACAGCTTGCATCTTGTATGACTTGAGATCTCTGCCATCAAGGTTGTGCCCCATACCTTCTGCTGCTCCTTGTGCATCTCACGGTCAGTGGCCTTCAGCTTCTGTCGCAGCTCTGTGATGTTCAGTTCCAGCTGCATGTTCTGCTTGTGGAAACGTTCCAGTTCTCCCTCCATCTGCAAGGAAGCAAAAGAAGGGGATTGGGACTGTGAAAGAGACATGAGTGAAGGAACAACATAGATTACAAAGTCGAAGGGACCTAATACACAGGCCATAGAACTTCCCCAAAATAATTCCTACAGTATATCTTTTAGACAAACATCCAATCTTGATTTTAAAATTGTCAGTGATGGATAATCTATCACGACTCTCGGTAAATTGTTCCAATGGTCAAAAATGTAAGCCTTATTTCCAGTCTGAATTTGCCTAGCTTCAATTTCCAGCCATTGGATTGTGTTAGACCTTTCTCTGCTAGATTGAAGAGCCCATTTGTTGCCTCATGGAGATATTTTAGACTGTAATCAAATCAGCCCTTAACCTTCTCTTTGTTAAATTGAGTAGATTGAGCACTAGAAGGCAGGTTTTCTAATCCTTTAATCATTCTGGTGGCTCTTCTCTGAACCTTCTTCAATTTATCAACATCCTTCTTGAACTGTGGGTACCAGTACTGGCATTCCAGCAGCAGTTGTACCAGTGCCAAATATAGAGGTAAAACAACCTCTCTACTTCTATTCAAGATTCCCCTGTTTATGCATCCCAGGATCGCATTAACTCTTTTGGCCACAGTCTCACACTGGGAGCTCATGTTCATCTGATTATCCACCGTGATCTCCAAATCTTTTTCAGAGTCACTGCTTTCTAGGATAGAAGTCCGCTCCTGTAAATATGGTCTACATTCTTTGTTTCCAGATATATACATTTACATTTAGCTGTATTAAACCTCACAGAGTTTGCTTGCGCCTAGGTTACCAAGTGATCCAGGTCACTCTGAATCAGTGATCTGTCCTCTTCATTATTCAGCACTCCCCCAATTTTTGTGTCATCTGCAAACTTTATCAGTGATAATTTTATGTTTTCTTCTAGGTCATTAATTAAAATGTTTAATAGCTTAGGGCCAAGAACCAGATCCTGGACCCCACTGGAAACACACACACTTTAGACTATTCCCCATTATAATTACATTTTGAGAGCTATCATATATCAGATTTTAATCCATTAATTTAACATGTGCCATGTTAATTTTATATTGTTCTAGTTTTGTAAATGAAATTAACATGTCACACATTACCCTGACAGTTAGGTAGTTAGCTAGCCTCATGTTTAAAGAAGAAGAAGAAGAAAATAATTTTCTTCCAAATAATCTAATTTTTTCCCTCTTTGTCACTGGGGGTAGAATGTAAATATCCTGTTCTTGATCACTGCAGCTGTTACGACAGAATTAGTGGGAGAAGGTAGGTGAAAAAATACAAACAAAAAACATTATCAGATCCTGTATGAGTGGTTAACTGTTTTTTTAATTGGTTGACGGGAAGTCAGAGTATACCATATTGATTTTGCTGGATGCCAGCGACCCTCCAGAATGGGCAGAGAAACTTTGTAGAGGTATTTCCAAGGATTTAAAAGATAGGATGAGACATTTACACCAGTGAAACAGAAGGTAATTTTAAAGTAGAAACCCTTCTGCTGACTAGCTCAGAAAGTGAGGAAGCTGAAGCTACTCCCACATTTTCATCTGGAGAGTTCCTGGTCTTAATGCAAAATCTTGATTTCTAGAGGTGCATCACCTTCCTCTGCTTCATCATATAAGATGTCTTGGATCAGCACGGGGGATTTATTGCATGGTATCGGATCTGAGTGTCCCAGATCTAAAGGAACATCATTGTATCGATGCAGAGCCCAGGTCGTACCACTTGAAGGAGCTTGATATGGAAATCCTGGAGTTGGACAGTATAGCCAAGGCATCAGTGGAGGCCCTTGCCACTCCCGCCAACATGCCCAGTCTGGTATAATATCATAGTTAGAAGGATGCATGAATTTATGATAGTCTGATTAAACAAACACCCCTCAATATTGAGGCTCTGGAAAAAACAGTTGGATCACTCTCTTCCTCTTAATGCAGATCTGAGGCCAGATCCGATAAGAAAATAATTGGGGATACCACTCAGGTAGAGATCCACAACAGCAACAGAGGTGATAGAGTTCTCTTAGATGACTGTTACATTCTGATGCACCCTAGAACAGAAATCCCCCGATGAAAAAATAAAGTAAGACATGCAAGTAGATTGTCAGTCAAAACATATAATGACCATAAACTGGTTATATCAGCAACAGCCTGAACAAAATATAACAACAGTCGGAACAAGAGATATGTAGCAGTTGCCCCTGAATAGCTTTCCCACCTGCAAAAGAAACAGGGACAGGAACACCAAGTTCAGGGAGCAGGAACCAGGCAACAAAACAGAAACAAGAACAAGAACAAGGCAGATCACACACCAGAAGTGAAAATAAGCCAGTCTGGTGTACCGGCAAGAGCCAGTACGCCGTGCCGGACTGCACCGGCTTCCGCAGCGGGGATTTAAAGGACCCGGGTGCTCTGGCCGCTGCGGGGAGCCCCGAGCCCTTTAAATCCCCCTGCAGCTCCAAGCTCGGCTGCTGGAGCTGCGGTGGGGATTTAAAGTGCTTGGGGCTCCCCGCAGCGGCAGTAGCTCCGGGCCCTTTAAATCCCAGCCCCAGCCCAGCTGCTGGAGCTGCGGGGAGGATTTAGAGGGCTCGGGGCTCCCCGCAGCCGAGGGAGCTCCAGGCCCTTTGAATCCCCGCCCGAGCCCGGCTGCTGGAGCTGCAATGGGGATTTAAAAGGCCCGGAGCTCCACAGCAGCCGGAGCCCCGGGCCCTTTAATTTGCTCCTGAGCCCCGGGGTCTCCCAGCCACCTCTGCAGCTGGGAGCCCTGGGGTGATTTAAAGGCCCTGGGGCGATTTAAAGACCCTGGGGCTCCCAGCCACAGCCGGTGCCCCTGGGCCTTTAAATCTTGAGAGGCCCCGCCTCTTCCAGTTGAGGCCACGCCTCTTCCGGGTGAGGCCACGCCCCCGCTCAGAACTCCGGCCGTACTGGTAAGTCCTGTAAGTTGCTTTCACCCGTCTCACACACACACACATGACGTACGTCATCATAATTTCTTTTCCTTCTCCCCAAAAATTCAGTGGTACCTAGCAATGTTCCCTTTAATTTTTCCCATCCATGTGTGGAATTAATTTTGTTATGTGCACCAAATTATCGAGGTAATGTGCGGATGTGTGCCACCAATAGAAACAAAAAAACTAGATATATTTTTTAAAATTTACCATAGGGATAATTACGTCAGCCTGGATAGGTTAGGCATTTTAGAACTCACTACTCAAAGAATTAAATTTAAGCGTAAGAGAGAAATAAAAATTATGAAATGCATAGACCAGTCAAAAAACTCAAACAACAGCACTTTGAAAGAAGACAATTACAGAGTATATGTGCATTGCAGGAAGTATCAAGAAGTAACAACAACAACACAAGCAGGGCCGGCTTTAGCAAGAGCGGGGCCCGATTCCTGGGGACAGGGCTTGCTGCAAGCCCCACCCCCAGGAATTGAGCCGGGCTC